CTAACCTCCCTATGGGAAATTTATGGAATGTAATTGCCCAGGCAGTTCGTAGCCACCTTGAAAAACATAAATTAATCAAACAAACAGCATGGTTTTACAAAGGGGCGTTCCCGCCTTACGAATTTTTTAACTTTTTTTTACAAAAGGATTTGAGGAGAGATCAGGAATGAATATGATATTTTTATAAAGGACTTTATAAGGGTTTGACAGGGGCCCACATCAAGACTATTGAGGAAAAATTTAAAACACATGAATAGGGGGAAAAAATTTTTTTTTCCCATAGGCATGGTTGACAAAAAGGCAGCAGAGATTTGCATAAATGGGGGGAAAAACAGAGTGGGGGAAATTCCGAGCGTGTTCCACAGGGGGCAGTGTTGGGGCCCCCGCTGTTCACAATCACAAAACCATAAGAGGCATAAAGAGCGACATCGGGAAGTTTGCCGAGACACCAAAAAAAGGGCCCTCGAATTCATTCTGACGAGGACTTCGAGCACTCCCCGGGAAAATTGAATAGACGATGCAGTGGCGGAGAAATGGGGAGAGCAGTTTAATATAACAAATGCAAAGTTCTAAAAGTTTGGGCAGGGCAAAAACCATCCACATAAAACAAATAAAGTAGATCTAAAAACGGATTCGAAAAAAATTTAGAGTTCTGGTTAGCAATAATCGAAAACCCAAAAAACAGTGCATAATGTTTGCAAAAAAAGCTAAAAGAACCTTGGCTTCATACAAGAACATAAATAAAAGGTCCCAGGTGTTCTTTAACTCAAAACATCCTTGGTTAGGCCCATTTAGATAATGCTCCCCAATTTTTTGGGCACCGTATTTCAGAAAGGATATAAATCTCTGGAAAATGTACAAAGGGGGATGACAAAGAGATCCCATGTATCAGAAAACCCCCCTATGAGGATAGACTAAGGCCCTAAACGCACTCTCAGAAAAAAACAGAATTAAGGGATATGATTGGGTGTATAAAAGGGGACAGGAAAAATAAAGGGGATTTAAAAAGTGTGCAAAAAAAACTAGCCAGACAGACTCGCAGCAATGGTTTTTTGTTGGAAAAATTTTGATTCAGGAGGATATGGGAAAATACTTTGGGTTTTGGGAAAAGAGTTGTGGGGGTGGAACAAACCCCAAGTACCGTTATGAGGCCAAACGTTTTTTACTTTAAAAATAGGGTTTGGGTAAATACATGAAGTGTGGGTGGGGGTAGTTAGACCCGAAGCTTGTGCTACCCCGGTCGGTTTGCCGTTTCCTCCCTTAAGTCAGGTGACCTGACCTGACTGGTTGGGTTTTTTGGGGTAACCGGGGGAACTTTGGGCCTTTCCCCCGCATGGGGCCCTAGGCCTCGCGTGTTTTCCCTTTGTTCTTATTTCTTTTTTCATCGCCCGCTGTTGTAAGGTGCGTCCCCCCGAAAAAATCCCTTTAACCTTTTTACTGCCCCTTCCCCCACCCCCCACCCCCGAATTTACCGCCTAGCCTCTGTTGTATATAATCCACAAATTTTTAGCCTAACCCCACTTCCCACTTAAACTCCAACCCCAAGCCCCCCCCCAAACCCCCCCCCCAAACCCATCTCCAGCAAAATTTATTTTGCTCGTTCACCCCCATTCCAATTTCCTTCCCTGAAAAGCTCCAACACACTTTCCACTGTACCAACCCTCCCTCCGGCTATCAGAAAATGGTAAACTCCCATACCCCCCACACTATACACCCATCCTTCTCCTCATTTAAAAACCCCCCCCCCTTACGACCCATAAAATGGTGCTGAACACCAAACATATTTTTAGACAGGGGACACCCCCGTCCAACCCCCTCCATCCTGACGCCCACCCAAACCCCCATTAATTTGTACCGCACCCTTGCAGATAATACAGTACAAAACCCCCTCCCACTCCCATTCCAAAACCGAGATGCAACAAAATACCCCCGAAAGTCTCTATCCACACAGTCTTTTGCATTTTTCCCAAACAATACCCAAAAACCCCCCCCCATTGCAAACCCCCCAAAAAATCCCAATGCGGCCCTGCCCATTCCCCATCTTCTGCCTGGAATACCCCTCTGCCCCTTATGAATAACCCCACCTAACACCTTCTTCATCCTATTGCCCAGTATCTTTGCGACAATCTTGTAGTCGGCACACATTAGCGAAATAGCTCTGTACTCACTCAATACTCTTCCCTCTTGCTTTTTGCGTACTAACACGACTACACCCGCTCGCTGAGTCTGTCCTAACTGTCCCTCCCATCGCATACAATTCATGACCCTCACCAGACAGTACTTAATGTGCTCCCATTGAATTCTATAAAAATCATTTGAAATCCCATCTGTACCCGGAGCCTTTCCAGTACTCTTGTTGAACACAGCCTCCTCAACTTCCTCCATGCTAATCTCACCTCCCATCCCCATGCCCTCCTCTCCACATGACTCTAACCCTCTCTCCCCACACCTCCTCAATAGCATCGCCTTCCTCCCCTTCCCCCACTTCCTTTGCAACCAGAAATCAGCATAATTACTCATGCCTTCTATAGTATTTAGTACCTGCCCCTTATGATATCCACCCATATCCTCACTTACCTCCAAGTTTAAAATAGTCGAATCCCTCTGTCTTACCCTAAAACCTCGCAAAACACTTCCCGAAGGTTTATCACCCCACAGCACAGCATCCATTCCAGCCCTTATACGTACTGCATCAAATCTACCATTATGTAACTCCGCCAACCTGTCCTTGAGTTGCACTATGTTTCTGTACTGCCGCCGCCCCCCCTTCCTCATAACACCCATTTAGCTGATATTCCAAATAATTTTGCAACCCATACCTCCACCTTGCCTCTTCCCTTCCCTTCCTTTTATAAAAACCTGCAATACCCGGCTTAGCATGCCTTTCCCACCATTCTAAGACACACGACTCCACCTCTCTAGAATCCCAAAAAGTTTGCCACCATTCCCCAAATGCCATACTCACCTCCTCACTCTTCACGAGTCTTGCATTTAATTTCCAAAAACCTAAATGTATCCTAACCATACCCTCCCAATCAAGATCTGCCATAACTGTCCTATGATCAGAAAACCCCACATCAAATGTTCTAACTCCCAACACACGTACAGCTTCCGTTGCATAGATCCTGTCTAAAATTGCAGCATAACCCCGTCTGACAAATGTATACTCAACCTGCCAACCCCCCTCCCCACAACATCCAAAACCCCCACGTCTCCCAACACATTACGTAACATGCCCAACATACACCCCGCCCCCCTCGGTTCCACATCCCCACCCCGAATAACACAATTCCAATCTCCCCCTATTACAGTGACTAAAGGTAATCCCCTTAAATAGTACATCAAAAAGTCCCTCACAAAGTTCTCCTTGACTTGTGCGTTGCCATCTGCCGGCATATATACTCTTATAAAACAAACCCTCGTTGCACCCCATTCTCCCTCCACCCTCACAACCCTCCCCCCCTCCTCCCACCCCAAAATATGCAATGGACTGGTTTCCTTTACAGCCACAGCAACCCCACCTTTCAACCTCAAAGAGCCACTCACATACAACTTATATCCTTTCAAAGACAACTCACAACCAAACTTATAATTGTGCTCCTGAATGAAACATATATCTACATTAAATCTCCTTAAAAACCATTCCACCCATACTCTTTTAACCTCGGCTCTCAGGCCATTAACATTGATCGTTACAACCTTGAATTATGACAGTAAAGGCAGCTTACCCTGCCGCCTTGGAATGGCACCCGCGTGACCTGACTGCTGACTAGAGCCCCGTTTGGCACCCTGTCTGTCTAGTCCCCCAACCTCCCCCCATCCTTGTCCTTTGAACCTTTCAGTACTTCAGCACCGCTACACCCACTCTCCGGGAGGTCCAACCTGGGCCTCCAAGACTTCTTCCCAGGTCTCTGCCCGGACGTTAAGACGTCATCCATATCAGACGTCCCAGCTGTTCTCTTGCGTGAACCTCCATCTCCGCATGTAACCTCCTCTTCCATGCGCGCTCTGTGCACCTCAGCCACTACCGTGTGCTCCTTACCCTCATTACACATGGTCTCCCCACGTCCCGATGCTTCTGTAGTCTCCTCCAATGAGCGTCCACGCTGCTCATCATCCAGACTCCCCTCCACCTCACTCAGGAAGGTATTCAAAACCTCATCCAGCATTCCATCCTGTTGCATTACAGTCTCACCGTCATTGCTCGTCGTCGTCGTCTGCTCAGGCCCCGTCCCCACAGGTAACGTAGCACAAGAGTCCGTCTCCGTCTCTGCTTTATCCACTTCCTCACTCCAACTGCACGATGCCTGCCTTTCTGCCGCATCTGTCTCCTGCACCACTGGACCCAACTGCTGATCCACCGGTGTTGGCATCTGTTCCCTCTGTCCTGGTTTCCTATGGCATTGGGCTGCCATATGGTCAAATGATCCACACAGCCTACAAGTCCTTCTCTGTCCCGCATAGTGAAAATAAATGGTATAAAATACCGACACACTGGAAACTTAAACACATATACTGGAAACATAAACACATATGCAGTTTAATGTGATCCTTTATTGACAACGTTCCGCCCACACAGTGGGCTTTTTCAAGTCATACACAGATCTACCTGGGGTGGAAGGTACTCCCGTACCTTCCACCCCAGGTAGATCTGTGTATGACCTGAAAAAGCCCACTGTGTGGGCGAAACGTTATCAATAAAGGATCACATTAAACTGCATATTTGTTTATGTTTCCAGTCCCGCATAGTATATGTAGACCTGCGTTCGGAACCCTTCCAATAAAACATACGAAGGAATTGATTGCCGTAACGTCATCTTCGGATTGAAGGATCCCTCTGGCAGTCCCACATAAGGCCCATCCTTCCACACTCCCAATTCCGCAGCATGAATCTTGCCATAACGACGGAAGACCGCTACCACATCATACTCTGTAGCTTCAAAGGGCACATTCCTGACTTTTACGTATGTCACATAGCTGGATACATCATGTAGACATACCTCCACTGCTGTATTCACTGCCATCCTCTTCTCGTGGTACTTGTCAACTATGCTGGAGTAAAATCCAGCATTTATAAATCTGATGAAAATCCTTGTAACTCCGTTAACAGCCACACCATAAAGCTCTTCATTGGGTATCCCATACACATCACGAATAATCGTAGGGAGTAGCACCTGCATGGTAGAACTGCTTTGGGCCCCACGTACCAGTTCCACACAGACAGTATTCACACGTCTGCCATGTCTATCTGCCAATTTGATTGCTCAAAACAGGAAAACTACGCAGAAAACCAACTGAATCAGGAGCGTCTGCGCAGCACGTCCACACGGCCCTAAAGCGATGAGGACAATGATAGTACCATTATTACACATCCCATGTTCATCATGTGAATGGTAGTAACATTATTGTACGTTTAAAAAAAATCCTTTCAGTGACTGTACCATTATCGTGCACTCTGGTGTTCATCTTATGAACGGTAGTACCTTTGTTGGGCACTCCCGTGTTCATCTTATGAACGGTAGTACCTTTGTTGGGCACTCCCGTGTTTATCTTATGAACGGTAGTAACTTTGTTGGGCACTCCCGTGTTTATCTTATGAACGGTAGTAACTTTGTTGGGCACTCCCGTGTTCATCTTATGAACGGTAGTAACTTTACTGTGCACTCCCGTGTTAGTCACTGGAATATTAATTCACTCAGTGTTGCAAAGTGTAACTCTAATGGCTACACACATTGCAACGTTCCATTACATGTTTAATTCATAGACTACAATCACATATTTTAAGCTAAATTACCTACCTTGGTGTTCTGGTTCCTAGAGTGAAACGCTGTGAGTGTGAGGCGGCAGTAACAGTTATCTAGTGAGGTAAGTTTCAAGGTCTCGACGATCTGGGCTAAATGTAGTGTCCAGTCATCAGCAGATCTGACAATTCCTTCATCAAAATTTGCTATTTAGATGGGTATTATAACTTCTCTTTCTTTGCCGTCTCATTCACTTCAATATTTGCTGTCTCTTGGAATCTAAGCGAATCACTGAGTTCATACAAATATTCATTAATCGAAATCATTATGCACGAGCAAGTACGTAAAGGTTTATATGCTGGGGGAAGAAATAAGTGAAATAACTTGCATGTTGTTATGCATATTTCAGGGGAGTATAACTGACAAATATACAACATACACAAAACACTACAACATTGACCAGTCTGCTGCTACTACCATCTTACTCTGCACTATTTTCCTTTCTTGTTAACTAGCAACTAAGCTAAATTGTAACTTCACTTCACTTAAACTGATAAATATGTACAGTTAAACTAGTTTTGGGTGGTTACACTCTCTTATACAGGAAAATATATGTAAATTATCAAGGATAACCTCATTAAAAAAGTCAGTCATTGACTTATTTCCGTGGAGGCAATATATATTCATGCGAGGGATGGGACAATAACAAAAAATTTTGCAGATATCAAAACCGATACTCAGTTTTCAGCGATACCAATATTTTTCCTATATACAATATATATATATATATATATATATATATATATATATATATATATATATATATATATATATATATATATAATATATATATATATAATATATATAATATATATATATATCGTGCCGAATATGTAAAACTGGTCAATTAGCAAGAACTCATTTAAAATTAAGTCCTTTCTGAAATTTTCTCTTATACGTTTAAAGATATGTTTTTTTCATTAATGTTAATGTAAAAATTTATAATTTTGCACCAAAAGAACCTTAGAATACTTACCTAACCTTATTATAACAAGAGTAATTTATTTTAGCCTAACCAAACTAAATATAATTCAGATTTGTTTACAATAATTTAATACTAAACAAACACAGTGAAATATATTTTTTTCGTTAGGTTAAGAATGATTTTGGCGAAATTATTCCATACACAAATTTTCACTTGTCCTATATGGCAAGATGAGCGTTGCTATTTAAGCCAAGATCGCAACTTCTGCCTATTCGGCACGACATATATATATATATATATATAATATATATATATATATATATATATATATATATATATATATATATATATATATATATATATATATATGTATATATATAATGAAAATCAATTATATTAAGACAATAGTTAAGAGTATAATTTAAAATAAAAATTCTTATATCAGTCTTTGAACAAATAATAAGGGACTGTGTAGAAAGGGACTTCTTTGTTCAGTGGAACACTTCACACGCTGAACAATGTCAGTGCAACAGGGATGAGAAACACTGAATAAACCCCAAGTGCCACATTAGCAACTTTGTTAAAGAGTGAGGAATCTTTACTAGATCTGTCCATCCACTCCAAATTGCACTCCTGGGGCGCCACTGTCGTCTGACCCTACGGTGGTGCCACTGGCGTCTGGTCCTCCTGGGGTGACACGGTTCCTTGATCTTCCTGGGGTGACACTATCCTTTGATGCTCCTGGGATATATATCAATGATCTTGATGAGGGAATTACTAGTGATATGAGCAAATTCGCCGATGACACAAAGATAGGTAGGATAATTGATTCAAACGTAGATGTTATGGAACTTCAGGAGGATTTAAACAAACTCTATTCTTGGTCAGAAAAGTGGCAGATGCAGTTCAATGTAGATAAATGCAAGGTTCTGAAGCTTGGGAGTGCCCATAACCCTAGTACTTATAAGTTAAATGATGTAGAACTTAGCCATACAGATTGCGAAAAGGACCAGGGCCAGACTCATGGAACTCTGTGTTCATCAAGAACTGCAAGAAGCCCCTATCACGAGCCTTTTCCATCCTATGGAGAGGGAGCATGGACACGGGGGTCGTCCCTCAGTTACTAAAAACAACAGACATAGCCCCACTCCACAAAGGGGGCCAGTAAAGCAACAGCAAAGAACTACAGACCAATAGCACTAACATCCCATATCATAAAAATCTTTGAAAGGGTCCTAAGAAGCAAGATCACCACCCATCTAGAAACCCATCAGTTACACAACCCAGGCAACATGGGTTTAGAACAGTCGCTCCTGTCTGTCTCAACTACTGGATCACTACGACAAGGTCCTAAAATGCACTAGAAGACAAAAAGAATGCAGATGTAATATATACAGACATTGCAAAAAGCCTTCGACAAGTGTGACCATGGCGTAATAGCGCACAAAAATGCGCGCTAAAGAATAACAGGAAAAGTCGGTCGATGGATCTATAATTTCCTCACTAACAGAACACAGAGAGTAGTCGCAACAGAGTAAAGTCCGAGCAGCTACGGTGAAAAGCTCTGTTCCACAAGGCACAGTACTAGCTCACATCTTGTTCCTCATCCTCATATCCGACATAGACAAGGATGTCAGCCACAGCACCGTGTCTTCCTTTGCAGATGACACCCGAATCTGCATGACAGTGTCTTCCATGCAGACACTGCAAGGCTCCAGGCGGACATCAACCAAATCTTTCAGTGGGCTGCAGAAAACAATATCAAGTTCAACGATGAGAAATTTCAATTACTCAGATATGGTAAACATGAGGAAATTAAATCTTCATCAGAGTACAAAACAAATTCTGGCCACAAAATAGAGCAAAAACACCAACGTCAAAGACCTGGGAGTGATTATGTCTGAGGATCTCACCTTCAAGGACCATAACATTGTAATCAATCACATCTGCTAGAAAAATGACAGATGGATAATGAGAACCTTCAAAACTAGGAGAGCCAAGCCCATGATGACACTCTTCAGGTCACTTGTTCTATCTAGGCTGGAATATTGCTGCACTCTAACAGCACCTTTCAAGGCAGGTGAAATTGCCGACCTAGAAAATTACAGAGAACTTTCACGGCGCGCATAACGGAGATAAAACACCTCAATTACTGGGAGCGCTTGAGGTTTCTAAACCTGTATTCCCTGGAACGCAGGAGGGAGAGATACATGATTATATACACCTGGAAAATCCTAGAGGGACTAGTACCGAACTTGCAACACGAAATCACTCACTCCACTACGAAAGCAAAAGACTTGGCAGACGATGCACCACCCCCCAATAAAAGCAGGGGTGTCACTAGCCACGTTAAGAGACCATACAATAAGTGTCAGGGGCCCGAGACTGTTCAACTGCCTCCCAGCACACATAAGGGGGATTACCAACAGACCCCTGGCAGTCTTCAAGCTGGCACTGGACAAGCACCTAAAGTCAGTTCCTGATCAGCCGGGCTGTGGCTCGTACGTTGGTTTGCGTGCAGCCAGCAGCAACAGCCTGGTTGATTAGGCGCTGATCCACCAGGAGGCCTGGTCACAGACCGGGCCGCGGGGGCGTTGACCCCCGAAACTCTCTCCAGGTAAACTCCAGGTTATGGTGAGCAGCAACCTTAAACCAAGACAGCAATGCCTAAGCGTTCGTAATAAGGCAAACAGATTACTGGGATTTATATCAAGAAGTGTAAGCAACAGAAGTCCAGAGGTCATACTGCAGCTTTATACATCATTAGTAAGGCCTCACCTAGATTATGCAGCTCAGTTCTGGTCTCCGTATTACAAAATGGACATAAATTCGTTAGAAAATATTCAGCGAGGATGACAAAATTTTAATACATAGCATTAAAATCTTCCTTTGAAAAAGAAAAAGACTTTTAAGTTACTTTCACTTGTTAGAGAAGAATGAGGGGGCCCTATCGAAGTGAAAATGGAAGTAGGTATTAAAAAAGGGGGATGTTAAAAGGGGTTTTGAGATGCCTCCAAGGAAACCCCGCAGTAAGGGATTTAAATTAGATAAGTTTAGTTTAGAAAGGACATGGGAAAGTTTTTGGTTTGGGAAATGGGGGTTTGAGAGTGGAACGTCTACCTAGTTGGGTTTTTGGGGCGGGACTTTGGGTAGTTTCAAATTTATTTTGGTAAGTACATAGTGGGGGGGTTGGTTTTGAGGGGAATTTCACATCATAGCTTTTTTCGGGGTGGCATTGAAAATTGGGGTTACAAAAAGAACATAAGAACAAAGAATTGGGAACACTGCAAAAGGGCCTACTGGCCCATACGGGCAGGTCCTTATCAAAACACATTACCTAAACACTCAAGAAATAACCCCTACCCTTTTGACCCCAACAAACCCCAGCCCCCCCACTCATATATTTTCCCATCTCTTCTAAAGCTACCCAAGGTCCAAAACCTCTATCACCCCTGGGAAGAGTTCCACCATTAAAACTCTGTTAGAAAACCAGTATTCCCTATTCCTTTCAAAATCTAAATTTATCCAATTAAAATCCATTTTTCCCTGTTCTTACCTGTTCGACACCCTCGTACTTTTTAATGCTCCTTTTTTATCCCCCGTCATCC